TGTTAGATTTCACATTCTGATATCCTGTAAGTCAAGTTCAAACACACAAGAACATGTGCACATCCAACAAACTATGCTCACATAGTGCTGAATAAAAGGGGCTAGTGTGAAAAAATAAGTAATTATGAATCCCACCAGGCAGTATCATTTATTGCAATGTTTCAAACTCTGAGGTTTTCTCAGGCAAATACACAGGTATCGTGAAGCTTTTACAGTGAGGCAAAGACAAACAATCAGCTGATATGCACCTCTGATTAATAGGTGCTTTCTATCATCTGATTTCGTTTTTTTTCCTTTTGCCTCACTAAACAGGTAAAGCCTCACAATACCTGTGCAATATCTACAAGACTTTTCAGAGGTCGCAATAAATTACACCTCATAGGGAGCTTCAAAACTATTCATTGTGCAGATATTTCTTTGAGTATAACTTCTAAGTGGATTTCACACTGGTCTCTTGTTTTCCATTTTTTACTTTCTGCAAAAAGAGATTCAACATGTTAACCTATAAATACCATCTCATTATTTTCATTTACAACTTGACGATGGATGGATGGAATTGATGATTATTCTTGCCTGATTTTATTTAACAAATGATTACTGTACACAAGAAACAGTTAAATTAAAATCCTATCCTGCATTCATGAAAACAGCAGTAAAAAGGTTAAAATTGTTGTTTTGTATGACTTGAAATAATGTACAGTTAAGACACTTAAATAAATGAAAATGTGTAAAAGTTGTAACAGTAATTACGATAATGGAACCTGGATAGTAACAGTGGTAAATAAGTAGTGTTCACATACTGTGGGATTAGGTGTGGAGTAAAAATAAAAACAATGGTTCAGCAAAGCAGTAAGGTGCAGGTGCTATCAGGGGAGAGAGCCAGCCACAATGGAAGGTGGGACTTTTATATCCTGTAGCGCACTGGGCCCAGGCGCTCCATATCAGGTAGAAGTAGACTAAGCAGGGGGCCGTCACACGTCCTACATGAGAGACAGACGACAGGTTAGAAATATGTGCAGCCGGAGAGCGTAGACACAAAATAAGAAGCACCTGTCACACACATATTGCTAGCTAATCTGGCTTTACATAACTCTTCATAAGGCACAGCCACTGATTCTGATAGTGTCCGCAAATCCTTCCTCTTCCTGACCACCCTGTTATAGTACCTTGCAAAATAAAGTCAATTACTTACTTACTTAATTATAACACTTCTGTATTACGTCTTGACTTCCGTGCATGCTGGTTTAAAAACTACGGCTGGCATTCACTCACATTATGTTAGCATTGTTAGCACAGCTTGGCATTGCTTTATGCTGGCTAATTTGCTAGTTAATGAGCTAAGCTTACATGCTGTTGCCGCCACAATGGTGCACTTTTTTTTTGCTTGCATTAAAAAGACCTTCATAGACGTTGCATATACATTATTGCTAACTTGACTGGACATTGCAGATGCAACAAATTGTTGCTAACTTGACCTCGGATGCACTACACATCTAAGAACAACTCCAAGGGGTCTTGACAATTTTACTGGTACCAGTAGGGTCTAGTGACGCCTATGGTGTGTAAATAGTGTGTTAATATTTAAACATCTACATTAATTTTATATCAATCATATATAGTGATAATTGTATTTCGGTTCTCTGAGGGGTCTGGCGACTGGTTGTTGGAGGGGTGGGGGACCGGGAAGAAGGGGTTGACGGGGTGGATTGGGGGTGCAGGCTGGTCCTTTTTGAGCTGGTTGGGGGGGTGTCTCCTCTGGATTTAGTGGATGCTTGGTGGTTGTGCGGGGATCCTGTGTGGGGGAGGGATTGCGCTTTGGGGTGTGTCAATGGTTGCTTTGCGGTCGCGTCGCGGCCCTCTGGATTGTGGTCGTGTTGAGTCCTAGGGGCTGGGTGCATCTGCTGACTCCCTAGGGCTGAGGGGCTGTTGCTGCTGTCGCGGGGTGATTGCTGTCTCTTTTCTTTGGGAACGGTCGGGGTGTGTGTGTGGGATGCTTCGCTGCTAGGGAGGGAAAGGCGCGGGGGTGGGTGTCTTCTGGCCTAACCTGGCCTGACTGACATTGCTTCCAGGGTGTGGGCGGACCTTCGGGTCTGGGCCGTTCTGTCCTTGGGCGGGGTCCTTGCTGCTCTGGACCTGCTCCCTTGTAGGGGTGGGGACGTTGTGCCAGCTCCGATGTCATGGTGGTGCTCGAAGTGCTCCTGATTGTGTGGGAACGGTGAGGTGGGGGGGTGGCAGTGGGGCTGCCGGAGGGGAGGACGGGGGATTGTTGGACTTTGGGTTGGGGCTGCACTGACCTGCCTCGGGGATGTGTGGGGGTCTGGGGCTCGGGGCTTTGGAGCCTTGTGGGGCTGGGTGGGGTTGTCACTGACCCTGGGGTGCTGCCGGTGCTAGAGGGGCTCTTGCTATAAGCCCTGGGCTGGAGGGACCTGGCGTCCTCCTGCTTAGGGGTGTGGAGGACGGGACTGAATGAATGATGGGGCCAGTCAGGAATCTGGTCCCAGTGAGGAGGACCATTCTAGCCTCCCTATGACCTTCTTCACCTTTCCCCCTTTGGTCATGTCTCACAACATGCACCCTTAGGACTCTGGGGGGCGGGCAGCATGCAGGGCGTTTGGTGGGTGGGGCTGCTTTATTGCTGTCTTGCCCTTCTTCCTCCCCCACTGGCCGCCCCTCAATTTTAATTACACATTAGACACAGAGGGCTTGGGGGGTGGGAGGGGCACGATGGGAGTCTCCACAAGATACTGAACCCCGATTTGCCCCTGGCGGCTATTCCGCCAGTGTATGAGTGAGTGTGAATGTTAGTTTCCGTTTGAGCACTTAGGCTCAGTGTATGAATGTGTGTGACTGGTGAATGCAGATGTAGTGTAAAAGCGCTTTGAGTGGTCGAAAAGACTAGAAAGGCGCTATACAAGTACGGAGCATTTACATTTACCTTACAGTTGTGGGGTGCCTGTGTCACAACTACCCTCCAATTTTAACTGCACCTTAGTTACCACACACCTTATCTTTACTCCACCATACAACACTTCACAATCCATGACATGCATCCAACACAAAACAATACATTTACAGAGGCAGGCAGAGGGGTTGAAGGAGTGGGGGAGATTCTCATTGGCCTCGCGTCGGGGGTGCTGTGGGGTTGGTGATGGCCTTGCCTGATCTGGGATGGGCTGGGGGGGTCAGGGCTCCCCTAGCGTGGGGGCCCGCGCTTGACCTAGGGATCTGGGGACTCGGGCTTGTGGCTTTTGCTCATTTCTGGGCGGGTGGTGTGTCCCTGGGCCTGGGGGCCCGTTGTCTCCTCTCCTCGCCTGGGCCCTCTTCGGCAAGGGTGGGGCTCCCGCTGCTTCCGCATGCCCCCACTGTGAGAGAGTTGGCAGGGGGAAGCAGCGGGGCGCATGGCCGGTGTTGTCGGGGTAGGTTTTGGTGATCCTCCTTGGGGGTGCTTGACTGGGGGGGCTGGGCCCCCGTCCGGGGATGAGATCGGCCTGGGGGACTGCTGGCACTGCCTGCACTCTGAAGAGGGATGCCTCTGGCTGGGCTGGGGGACCGTTGGCCTGGTTCTCACGCGTTATCGCTCCCTGGCGGCAGGGAGCTTCCCGGCACGGCTTTCTGCTGTTCTTCCTTGGGGCGGGGTACAGCTTCCCCCGGAACATGCGGTCTGGGGTCCTTTGCACTTTGGGGGGTCGCGGGGTGCCCTGGCTTCTGGGGGTGGGGGTCTCTGCGCGGGTTGATCCGGTTGCGGTTTGGAGGGCTGCGGTGGGATTTTGGGGCGATTGTCGATGCATCTTGATGCATTGTGCTTTTTCCCTGGGCAGGGTCTCTCAATGGCTGCTGGGCGTTTAGTTTGTGCATTGGAGTCCGGGGGAGGCATTTCCTTGTTGGCTTGGAGGGACCAGTTTGTGTCCCTGTTTTGCTTCATTGGACTCAGATCCATGCTTCCCCATTTCTCTGTCGGCCAGTTGTTGGACCCCTCTGGATACTGAGGTATATAGTTAGTTTTCGGGATGTGCAGTGTGAGTGCGGGGCAGGGCTGTGCTCCAGTTTGTTCTGGGCTTGTGCTGGAGTTCTCGGCCCTTGATGGGTGGGTGGGTTGGTGGTGGCATGCAGCGGCCGGGGGGCGTGCTGGGCATGGGGGATGTCGGCTGGTGCCGGTGGCCATAGTTTTTTCCGGCGGTTGGGGGGGGCGGCGGACTTTTATTTATTTATTTATTTATGTCTTTTACTATTATTATTATTTTTATTGTTTGTTTTTGTTTGTGTTAGTTTGTTGTTGTTTTTCTCCTCCCCAAGCCCCCCTCTCTGTTCTATTGCAGGTTTCGTTGCTTTCTGCAATTGGTGTTTCCCACTGCTTTTCCCTGTTGTCCCCACCTTCCATCCCCCTTCTCTTATAGGTCTTGTCCTTTCTCTGTGCTCTCTGTTTGTGCCCCCCCATCCCTGTGTCTGCCCCCCTGTCCGGCCCGGTGACAAATCAATACATAATTAAATAAATAATAAAACAGACAAAGGAGTATATTAATACTCTCTTGTTAAAGTAAAATCTGTCTGGCACAATATGGTATCCAGGTCATCATACTCTATACCAGGCTGCTGGGCAGGACAGGTAAAAAAAACAAAAAAACCAAAAAAAAAACGAAAAACAGAAAATCATATATAGTGTGTATACAGTGTATACATACAAGTTATGTACAGTATTACCTCTTGGCAGCAATGGGGGCTTGTCTTTGCAGAACACAGCTGTGGTATGAGTCTGAGTTTTTTAAATAATTGGGTTAATAAGCCTTTGGGCTTTATTGTGTCTTTATATTTTTGATGAATTGTGTGTCTGAGGCTTAATTTTGAAGTTACAGCTACCAAACCTGCATCACAGATTGGAGGAGTTACTAACAGTAATATTACAGGCATATGTTTGTAGAGAAGGCAGTGGTTCTTTCCGTGTGTCTGGAGGGTGTTTTATTTTTAGTTGGGACAGCCCCTCAATCATCTAAAAGCAGGTCAATGACTCTTGGAGTGACAGTATATAGGAACAGAGCTGCCTGCAGCATCCCTACACGGATCACACAGAGGATCACGGCTATAAGGTACACCACTTCCATCTCTGCAGGGTTCATTATATTGTATTAACATTAATATAATCTTCATCCAAAAAAACAATAATTCTTCAGAGGTTTCTTAATATTGTTCTCTGTGTTTGCAGTTTGAAACAGTTTAAAGATGTCTAGTGAGAAAAACCCTGAGGTTGTTGGCTGTGACGCCTCAATCATGAAGAATGTCTGGGAGATCAGAGCGAGAGAGTATGGACAAAAGCTGCATCTGGAGCAGGAACGAATAGAAAGGAGTGCTCTGCCTTCGTAAGGACTGAAACTATTATCTGTATTTGTGTGCACATACTGTCTGCAAGTCCTTTATCAGAATTTTCACATTAACATTTTTCAAGATTGTTTTATTGAATAGTACCCAGCAGTAGTAGGAGAACAACAGGGACTTTTTTGCACACATTGCTATTATGTGGTCTGTATCTCAGAATTATTAAATATCTTCAGCAGCAGAATTAGAGTTTATTCTTCAATTTGAACATGCGTCTGACTTTTATGTTAACTTGATGTGTTCTAGAAGAACCCAGGTCTCTTTTTACTGACCTTTCACACTGTTCTGCAGCGATAAACACAAACCAATTAGAAATTAGTTGTATGTCCTCAAATGCAGGCTAATGTAATTTATTACACTATATAATCACAATGGTATAACATTGTCATCTAAATGTACAGAGCTAAATGTACTAGAACAATAAAGACTACATGCTGGTCCTCTCTTGATCCCGTCATAAATGTAAAAAAAAATCACAGAACCACTTTTATTTCAGCCACTTTTGTTTTGTCTGTTCAGGCAGTAAGAATAATTACACAAACACTGTTCCACAGTTCCAAGACAAACACACATCTCACTATTTGTATGGCTTTTTGATACTGTGCAGATGAATGTGGGAAAAATTAAACATTGGACCAGAACTTGTTTTGATTTACAACCAGCAGGAAATGCCAAATTGGCATAAGCAAATGGGTAAAAATCCCCTCCAAAACATGCAATGATCAAAAACAAGACAGGCAGGATAACAGATGAAGAGATGCATAAATAATAAATAAGATGAATAAATCCTGGGAAGTTGGTGATGGAATTGGGACACTGTGGACTACTGCTGATCAGGGAGGGAATGACAGCTGTAATGATCCATCATGTTCTAATATTAGCAGGGAGGTTAATGACTGAAAGACTGACAATTAGTTGTCAAGAAAAAATGGTTTGTTTCTTCAAAAGCATTTTATCTTCTTACTTTTTCTTCTATGAATGGAAGAATTTCTGAGATTACTTTTTTTGCTACAATTCTGACATTTTTACTGCATTCATTTAAAGATATAAAGGTGTCCTGCAGGAGAAATCTGATACATCAGCACACTAAAAGAAGAAGTTAACCCCGACACCAGATCTCAGACAGTGGGCTACTCTGACATTTTACTTAAGTAAAAATAGCAATACCACAGTGTAGAAATACTCTGTTGCAAGTAAAAGTAATTGAATTGCATTGAATATGTAAGTATTATCAGGAAAATATACTCAATGCAGAAGTATAGCCCCTGTGAATGTTATACTATAATATATTACATAATTATTATTATAATTATTACTACTTATTTGCCCGCTGGCTGTCTGTTCCTGGTGTGTGCTTTCAGTATGTGCACACAAATGATACACTGTTTGAAACAAAAATCCTTGTGATTCGACCAATGCAAACCATTTCAAGATACAATCAGCCACTCACCTGTAAAGCCCCATAGTAATCCACTGATCAATTATATTCCAACAAAAATGGTTTTGTTACGTTGTCAAAGGTCAAGACCATCCAATCCAGCAAAAACATTTAGTCCAAAACACATTATTCTATTAATAAATCCCCAGGGACTGCTGCTGCATCATTTCATAATCGCTGACAGACATGCCTATGTTATTGTAACTGTAATAACTCCAGTTTGGATGCACACACACACACAAACATGGAGCAAAGTCAGCCAGCACGTTATGCTCGTTAGTGTAAGTACGTGGTGCAATAAATCCTATGTGAGTAAAAAGCTCTCCTCTCTACCAGCAACAGCAGAGATAGGAGGAGGGGGAGGACAGGAGGAGCGACTGATAGGGACTCATGACTGAGTTCATCATTCTTTCTAAACTTCACTCAGTATGTTGATGTCAGGAATATGATTTATTTTACTGACATGTTAGATTTGTTTCCAGTGAGATATTAGTGTCTTTGCTATTGTGAATCCTGTTGCTGCTCTTGAAACAATATTCACTTAATATAAAAATATGAAATTATTTCTTTTACATAATATCTTTTATTAAAGGCAATTATTTAGCAATGAAAAATAACTGAATATCAATAAAGAACAGAACAAATAAGGGTTAGACAAGTATGTCAATAAAATTCTAGTGATACCCATCCCAACTCGTGAGAAAATGTCCGGCCCATCCCTGTGTCCTGTTCTTTAAATCTGGCCCAAATGAATTTGTAATAGAATAGCGCTGCTGTACATCAAACACATGTACAATGCACACATCACACATATTGTAACCCAGTGACAAACTTCACCTTTATTACTGTACTCTGCTCTGTTACATAACACAGCATCACAATGTATCAGGATTTGACTTGGATTTGCTTCTGAAAGCCAAGATTAATTACTGTATATTTTCCCCTGTTAGTGGTGTGGCTCTAAGATGGCAATGTAGGACCATTATTTTAGACCTGCAACACCAACATATCCTGATGCAATACTGATGTAATATTTCCATGAAAGGATAATTGCTTAAAGAAGCTGTTACTACTAGTGCACAAATTTGTCTATCTTGTCTGTCTTTAAGAGATGTTGTCCTTGTCTGTGATCATACTTTCTGCGAGCATTTTTGACATTTAGCTCATGTTTTATATTTTGTCTTATATTTTTTCCCACAGTATTAACAAGGACTGGGAAAATCGTTTGGTTGCCAAACTGGGTAACTATAAAAGAGTGGAGAGAAAAATTAAACCAGCTGAGAATCAGACAAACAACAACAATGTGTGGAAGAGTAAACAACACCAGGTTCCTCCTACTCTTCCTTGTGGATCAGGTTCAGGTCCACTAGGCAGACCAGGAGGCCAGAGAAGGGTCTTCCCTGCTCCAGCCCCAAACTACAAGGATAAAAAGGGGCAAGGCAAAAATTTTAACAGACTTGACTTAATCATGTTCATCACCCGGAATCAACCTTCTGCTATGGTGTGGGGAAAGTCTTGGAAGTACAACAAATCCTTGCCATTACCAGCAGAGGGTGCTACAGCTACACCAGACTGGGGCAAGTGCTGGATATTTGCTACCCCGCAGCTTTGCTCTGAAGTAGGAAAGCCTTGTACAAACGGGCCAAACATGATAGATCTTTACAGCCATCATCTCTGGAAGAAACCAGACAGGGTGGTGGAATCACAAGAGTTAGACTTAAGTCTTCCCACTGAGGAGTGGCAGATGTCCTGGAGAAAATTTGAAAAAAAAACATAAGAAGAGGGATACATGTTCTGTAAATGGAAAGAATGTCACCAAATCTGGATTCTTCACCTTTTTGTTGGAGACTCAGCACCACAATGAAGCCTTCTGCTCATCAGAGTGGAGCAAGTCATGGAGATCCACAAAGCCAACAAGTCAGCAGAATAATTTAACTGATACAAATAATGGTCTAATGAATGGGTCTATTGTTAACAAGCAGGATGACAATGGAGAGATAAGCTTCAAGTGGGAAGAATGTTGGAGGCTTGTCAACCACCATGGCTGCAACAAATCCAAGTTGCCTCAAGTAAAAAAATCTCATTGTCATGAGTGGGCTGACTCATGGAGAGCAGCCATGGTGGTATTCAATAACCACAAGAATTCTGATCCCTCTCTGAGGCAAGATAACAAGGATAAGTATGATTATCATGGCCAGCAGAAAGAGGCGCATCTTTACATAGTCAAGACGTACAGAGGTCTGTACTTGGAGCTCCACAAGGAATTTAAGGCTCTCTCTGAGTGGAGGAAGTCATGGCAGGTGACCAAAAACAACTCTAAACCATGTGAAGAAATAAAGAAAGTCTTAAAGGTCTCTCCACCAAAGATGGAGGCTCAGAAGGTAGAGAAGAACCCAAAGGGTCATCATTTAACATCAGAGAAAGCTGACTCATGCTATGAGCAACTGAAACACCATGTCATATACTGCCCAAAGCAAGAATTCGCCCAATCTAAGCTGATTCATCTGAAACACTTGGAAAATGTCTTGTCTACCTCAGAATGGGGGGATTCCTGGAAGACACTGAAACACAGAATGAAAATAGAGAGAAGAATTAGTCCTGATCCTTCAAGGCCTTTCAGAGCATCTGAGAAGGGAGGAGACATGAAGCCTACTACCTCAGAGTGGAAAGACTCATGGATGTTCACCTGTCTGCCTCTGTGTCGAGAGCCTGAACGTTGGGAGCAGGGTTGGTCCACCACACCCCAAATCCAAGTACATCATGCGTGGGTCCAGAACCACTTTCCACCTTTGGAACTACCTAACAATGGGCCGACCAGGGAGCAGAGTTGGGGAGAATCATGGAGGTTATCAAGGCCTCAGAATCGATCAAATCCTGCGCAGTGTAGGGCACAAACCAGCCAAGCAAGGTCAAGTGTGACTTCCCTCTATCCTTACGATTCACGGACAGACAGGAGGTACGCTAGGTCCATTTCTGACTGGCAGGGAGCCTGGATGGTCTCCGAAACTCAGTTCCACCATGACAAACCCTCCCTAACCAAATGGAGGGAAGCCTGGAAGTGCTCCATATTCCACACAGGGCTCTGGACTGAGCAGAAGCCTAGAGAGAACGGGGGGGATATGTTAATGGAGAGCCAACCCCGGAGAGAGAAGATTTCCTTGCAGAGAGCCAAAGCTAAAATGAGCCAGTCTTTTAAGAGCCAGATGTTCAGGGAAAGATATCCTGAGAAACATTGGAGTGCTTCATGGAGAGCTGGGTCACTTCTGAAACATCAACCAAGTCATTACAGATCTTCGGGGATACCTAGGAATAGCATGACCGGCACTACTCAGCAACTACATGCCACTTTCAATGGGCATGGATCTAAGTGGGGAAGGTCGTTCAGGCTTGCCAATCCCATGCCCCATGTGGATCAACCCTGGGTGGAGTCTTCTCCTAACCCATGTCACGATGTAGTCATGTGGTCAAGAGGGAATAACACACAAAACAACATCAAAACCAACTTTAGTAACAACCCTGCAACCATCAGGCTTTGGGAAAACTCTCATCAGTTCCTGCAGCGGGCTAGTGCACAGATGAAAGACAAAACCATGTCTAAGGAACCCGTTGATCCTAGGATGAATATCACAAAAAAGAACAAAACAAGTAGACATTTGTACTCCAACATTGAGAAGGAGAAACAATCAGAAAGGAAGTGGGCAGGATGCCACCTGTTGGGTAAAACACAACCACGTCCCAAGAAAGGCCCTGCTTCAGGAAAGAAGCTAAAGATGGAGGACAAAAACAAAGAAATGTTCATTGAGGAGTGGGCAGAATCTTGGAGGTCCTTTGTTCACCCTTCTGGTCTGAAAAAGCAGATGACCATCAAATCACTCTCAGGTTGGGATAAGTCATGGAAATTCCTCCTTCCACTGTACAAGCCGATGAATGGCCTTAAGACCAAATAGAAGGCATGGCTCAGTCAACTTTTAGCTTTAGAACTGAAGAAGCCTCTTTGATGAGAGGCATAACATCTTTTAGTATATTCAACCAAGTCCAGTTGCCCTTAATTTTAACCCACCTTGAATAACTTTGAGCTTAGTGAAATCAGATGGATAATTTTTGTCAGACTTCAAATATCAGATAACCTGAAGCATCAAAATTTGCCACATACAAACCATGTCAATAAAAACATAATGCTTTACTACTTGCAGTTTTTCTTTGTTTTCTTCTTGTTGAGAATTTATTTGCGATAGTCAGGTATCCAACACTTAAAAACAGTTAATAATAATAAGAAGTAATAATATACAATTTTTTGAGTTTACAGTGTTTGGTTAGCTAACTTGGCAAAGCACAAGACTCTCACCAACAAGGTTGCATGTTTGAGCCCACTTTCTTTCACTTTTTAACAAATTGATTATGCAGCAACTGTTTCAATCCAATGATTTCTTACTCAAATGTTGACAACTGTGACTGTGAACTGACTAAGCTTCATATAAAGATCATATTAAGAACAAGTACAGGTTGGACAAGGACTGTGTCTCCAAAAGTCTCTGGATTCTTTGACATAATCAACATAGTCAAACGCCTCTGGAGCAACTATGGGTTAAAGGGGCATTATGTAGTTTCCAGCGGCCACTAGCGGTGCGGTTTTAAGATTGCTACCAGGCGTGTGCTTGTACGCGTGCTCACTTGAACTCATGAGCGAGCATAATCCGAAACACAACCACTTTCATACAGAAATCCTGCAATAAACGCAGGAACACCAGCACGCAGACTGTGGCTTTTCACTCAGACATGTTCAGGTTACTTCAATGTTCTTATCTCAGAGGCAGATCAACACCGGCGCCGTACCTTTCATTCAGCGCAGCGAGACACTGTCATATTGGCACAGTACTCCCGAAAAAAAGGCAAAGTGAGAGCGGCTATAGACAGGTAGGGAGCCAGCTTCACACATCATGGTGGAAACTCAGATAAACTCTCACTGCAACGTTACAGTAATATTTTTATCAGCTTGATATTGAACTAATCCATGCTCGCTACATGATAAAGTTACGCAGCATTTAGCCAATGTGCTACATCGTTAGCTCACCTGCTGCTTTCAAGTAACTGTCTTTACTATCTGTGTATCTGTCACCAGTAGCTCAGCAATTTCAGCACAGCTACATGTTTTAGATGATAATGAAACTGTTAGTGAGTTGGACTGAATATTATAACAAGATTGTGTCATACTTTATAACAGTTTAAACTGCAGTAACTAATTTACTGTAGTGTTAGTGGATGGCTCTTCCTCTGGGTTGTATATTATGTGGGTCATGTTAGTTACAGTGACTGAGAGGTGGAGAAGCTGTGTATTGTTAAAAGGCAATAAATCTAAATTGAACGTTATGAAGCAAACAGCGGCAGGTCGGGGCTAATGTAGTGTTAGCTGGCTGCTCATGGCTGCATTACAATAGGATAGTAAACAAATCGCTCCACATTAGCTTTTTACCATTACATAATTTCTTGCAGGCTTTGACACTTTGGCATAACAGTGGTACAGAGGATTGCATTAGTTGGTGAAGTAATGTGAAAGCGATATAACTTTGCACCGGACAACATTAGCAACTGCTCAGCGTTAGCCGGCTAGCTAACGTGACTTTCTCTGTGTTTCTCCAGCTTTGCTAATGATCACTTTGTTCTTACTCGACATCATCTGAAGCTGTTTGGTCTGATGGGCTTGAGCACATAAACCTTTATTGTTGTTTTGTATCCTTACGTGGAGCCTGTGTTTTGCTGTGAACTGGTTATTTTATGGTATTAGTGGACTGCATGTCGTTAGCTGCCATGTTGTCGCTGTAGTACAAGAGAGCCTCGGGAGCGCGCACAGGGCTGAATCCGACCCGGAGACTTCACATTAAAAGCAGAATAGTGGCTGATACAAGCAACGGAGAAAACAGGCATGCGCTTCATTTCTAAGTGAGTTTTGAGCCCACTGACAATAAGGCATTGAAAATTTGATTTATTAAACATACATATAGCCCCTTTAAGTGTCTTGCTCAAGGACACATTGGTGGATGGGAGCAGCCAACACAATATCCACACAGAAATATATACAGTATATGTAGTGGTGGTGAAAATGAAAAACGGTACTGATAATTAACAGGACGATATTATCTACTTTTGACAGCTCTAGGTATAGTGGTTTTCGATCTGGACCTGGTCTAATGTGGTCTACATGCAAAAAAGCGAAAAGTGAAATCACCCTCTCTAGTATTTTCACAAAACAATCAATGCTCTAGGTATATGGTATTGAAATTGAACATTTAATAGTGTTCCCACAGACCACTATTTGATAACTTTTGAGTTTCTATTGCTGAACTACACGCCATTAGGCAAAAATTTATATGAGATGTCGATCTGATAGTGCTGTAGCTAAATTTAAGGATGTGATTCCATCAGCTTTTAATTCACTTTCAAGTCACAAAGTAACGGAGCATTCCAATGCTAAATATCAGTCCCTCCCAAATCGATCATCTTGTTGATAGTGCTGCAGGCTCGCTGCGAATGACACTCGACTCTGTTGCCCCTCTAAAAAAGAAGATAATAAAACAAAGACGGTCAGCTCCATGTTATAACTTGAGAGGAATTGTCTTTCCACCAAACTGGAAAATTCTCATTTAATTTGGCCAGATACTCTTAAAACTTATAGGAAGGCCCTCCGTAATGCCAGAGCAGCGTACTACTCATCATTAATACAAGAAAATAAATAGAGGAAAATTCTGCACTGTAGCCTGGCTGACAGTCACAGATGATAATGTCACACGGGATGATGGGGGAGGGTGGGGCTGGGCTCTTCCTGAAGTCCACGACCATCTCCACTGTCTTCAGAACGTTGAGCTCCAGACTGTTCTGGCTGCACCAGGTCACCAGATAGTCAATCTTCCACCAGTAGATGGACTCATCCCCACCAGAGATGAACCCAATGAGTGTGGTGTCGGCCGCAAATTTCAGGAGCTTGACAGACTGGTAACTGAACGGGCAGCTGTTGGTGTACAGGGAGAAGAGCAGAGGGGAAAGAACGCAGCCCTGAGGTGAACCAGTGCTGATGGTTCTGAAGTCAGAGACATGTTTTTGTTGAGAATTATTTTAGAGCATTATAGCCTAAATTGTTATCATTAATTACTAGAGCAATGGTGGTCTGCATTGGCATCATTTAAAGTATTATTTGAGTGTAAAGTTAGGATTACAGTGTCAAAACTCTATAGCTCTTGTCATCATTTAGAGTGTTATTTTATAGTGTAAAGTTAAGATCACAACATTGAAACTCTTTAGCTCTGAGTGTGTGTGGTCCTCTCTGTGTCTAACTGCCCGGAGGCAGTAGCACGTGTGTGTATGCAAGCAGGCATGTGTGCTCTGGGACCAGAGTGAATGAGCACAGCAAGGCATCATCAAAAACACCAGCAAAGTTAAAATGTAGAAGCAGAATTAGTGAAAATTGTTACAAAACATAAATAAACATAGTCCATCACAGTAGGGATGTCCTGTCTTTAGCACACAGCACAAAAGACACCAGCTTATTCCACAAAGTGAGGTTTTTGGTGAAAGTAGTATGATCAGCAGAGGGCAGGTCATCATTTTTGATCATTTTAGTATCCTTAATTAGTAGTAATCATTAATCACTCTTAATTAATGATTTTTAATCAATAATTTTATTATCTTTAATCAATATTAACAAGTATTATCATTCTTAGTTCATCATTTATAATCATTTTATTATCCTTAATTAGCATTAATCATTAGTAGTTTATTAATTATCCTTACTTACTTCTTACTTACTTCTTAATCTTTGAACATTACCGAGATGTATTATTTTCTACTTAGAAGTGCTGTGCTGTAATCATGAATGCAGTAACAAAGTTAAGATCCCTGAGTGGGAGCATTGACTGTAGACACTGAGACTATGCATACCTTGTTCAACTGTTATCTACTGTAGATTTATGACAGCAGGAGAGGCTACAGGTGTTCAAAATCTGCTGTGACTAGTGCATGCTTTGGTCTAGTGATATCCACTGTTGTTATAACATGATGAACTGCCGAGGTGTCAGTCTGCTGATATTAAGAGTTTAATTACCAATTAAGACTACATGCTTAATTACTGATTAAGGGATTGATTGTCAACTTCCAACCACTGATGCTTAGAGCCTGTGTGAACTTTGAGTGAACTTGCCCATGGGCATTTGGTGAACTCGCTGACAAAGCATTTGCTGACTTTGCTTGGCAGAGTGGGTGAGCTTCTAAGGCAGAAAATGGATGAATAGATGATGACAAGCAAAAGTAGTAATCAGCCAGTAAAACAACAAGATTACTGTAAAAAAACAAGCATCAATGAAAGGCACAGCGCAACATATGTTATTCCCGTAGTAATTTTTTTAAGAAATATAACTGTGTGTTAAATTATATACACATAACTGCTGAAAAAGGGTGACATTTGAGTTACATTGTAAATGATGAGTTTCTTATCCTGTAATATAACAAAATATAGAAAGTCAACAACACAGAATGATGAATGAAAGCTGGAAAACTTGTAAAAGTGGTATAACAACACATGTGAACAGCATAAAAGCAGAAGATAAGAAATTCAGCATAAAGGAAGGAGGGGGGCACACCAGCTCAGAAGGGGTAAGGCTGTCTGCAGACCATAGGGTTGACTTCACCCTCCGACCTGCTGTGAAGCACAGAACAGAAGATGAATAAAAGTCTCTGTTTTTCCCCACCAGAAGCTCGTCCAGTTTGTTGCAAAGTGAGCGCACGTTGGAGAGAAATATTGCCGGTAGCGGTGTGCAGAGTCCCTGCCAGCGGAGGAGCGTGAGTGACCAGGCTCGTTTCCCTCTCTTATGGCACTTCACAGCTCGAACAACAGCTAGCAACTCCTTCACCAAAATGTCCAATAATTCCTACTGAGCCAAGTATTCCCATAGCTCTCAGTAGTAAAGACTTTATGAGCTTCTTTAATGATAATATTCTAACTATTAGAAACAAAATTCACCAAGACCTGCCCTCAACTGGCACAAACTTATCTCTAAACTCAGGAACCTTAGAAACGGCTGTAAAACCAGATATATGTTTAGACTGTTTTGCTTCACTCAATCTTTACCAACTAACTTCAATAATTTCTTCATCTAAACCATCAACCTGTCTCTTAGACCCCATCCTGACTAGGCTGCTTAAAGAAGTTTTACCCTTAGTCAGCACTTCTATACTAGATGATCAATCTATCTTTATCAACAGGCTATGTACCACAGTACTTTAAAGTAGCTGTAATTAAACCTCTTCTGAAAAAGCCCAAACTTGATCTGGATGTTTTAGCCAACTATAGACCTACAGTGAGGAAAATAAGTATTTGAACACCCTGCTATTTTGCAAGTTCTCCCACTTAGAAATCATGGAGGGGTCTGAAATTGTCATCGTAGGTGCATGTCCACTGTGAGAGACATAATCTAAAAACAAATAATCCAGAAATCACAATATATGATTTTTTAACTATTTATTTGTATGATACAGCTGCAAATAAGTATTTGAACACCTGTCTATCAGCTAGAATTCTGACTCTCAAAGACCTGTTAGTCTGCCTTCAAAATGTCCACCTCCACTCCATTTATTATCCTACATTAGATGCACCTGTTTGAGGTCGTTAGCTGCATAAAGACACCTGTCCACCCCATACAATCAGTAAGAATCCAACTACTAACATGGCCAAGACCAAAGAGCTGTCCAAAGACACTAGAGACAAAATTGTACACCTCCACAAGGCTGGAAAGGGCTACGGGGAAATTGCCAAGCAGCTTGGTGAAAAAAGGTCCACTGTTGGAGCAATCATTAGAAAATGGAAGAAGCTAAACATGACTGTCAATCTCCCTCGGACTGGGGCTCCATGCAAGATCTCACCTCGTGGGGTCTCAGTGATCCTAAGAAAGGTGAGAAATCAGCCCAGAACTACACGGGAAGAGCTGGTCAATGACCTGAAAAGAGCTGGGACCACCGTTTCCAAGGTTACTGTTGGTAATACACTAAGACGTCATGGTTTGAAATCACGCATGGCACGGAAGGTTCCCCTGCTTAAACCAGCACATGTCAAGGCCCGTCTTAAGTTTGCCAATGACCATTTGGATGATCCAGAGGAGTCATGGGAGAAAGTCATGTGGTCAGATGAGACCAAAATAGAACTTTTTGGTCATAATTCCACTAACCGTGTTTGGAGGAAGAAGAATGATAAGTACCATCCCAAGAACACCATCCCTACTGTGTAGCATGGGGGTGGTAGCATCATGCTTTGGGGGTGTTTTTCTGCACATGGGACAGGGCGACTGCACTGTATTAAGGAGAGGATGACCGGGGCCATGTATTGCCAGATTTTGGGGAACAACCTCCTTCCCTCAGTTAGAGCATTGAAGATGGGTCGAGGCCGGGTCTTCCAACATGACAATGACCCGAAGCACACAGCCAGGATAACCCAGGAGTGGCTCTGTAAGAAGCATATCAAGGTTCTGGCATGGCCTAGCCAGTCTCCAGACCTAAACCCAATAGAGAATCTTTGGAGGGAGCTCAAACTCCGTGTTTCTCAGCGACAGCCCAGAAACCTGACTGATCTAGAGAAGATCTGTGTGGAGGAGTGGGCCAAAATCCCTCTTGCAGTGTGTGCAAACCTGGTGAAAAACTACAGGAAATGTTTGACCTCTGTAATTGCAAACAAAGGCTACTGTACCAAATATTAATATTGATTTTCTCAGTTGTTCAAATACTTATTTGCAGCTGTATCATACAAATAAATAGTTAGAAAATCATACATTGTGATTTCTGGATTTTTTTTTTTTTAGATTATGTCTCTCACAGTGGACATGCACCTACGATGACAATTTCAGACCTCTCCATGATTTCTAAGTGGGAGAACTTGCAAAATAACAGGGTGTTCAAGTACTTATTTTCCTCACTGTATATCTAACCTTCCATTTCTCTCTAAGGTTCTTGAGAAAGCAGTTGCTAAACAGCTGTGTGACTTTCTAGATAGCAATAGTTTATTGACGTGTTTCAGAGAGCGTTAAGGCTTTGCCTAAAATGCCTCACAGCTTTCACAACAGTAGGACGTGCAAAAAATGGAGAATCAGTCACTCAGCAATGTACGTTAACTTTCACTTAAGTTCCCCTTAACTTTCCCGAAGTTGCAAATCGGAAGCTAACTTCAGCGTTGTCAAGATGTCTTACAATACACACAAAGATACTTCACTTTGACTTCTGTCCATGTCTAATGTATCTGTCGTTTATTTGTGGATATTTGGACTTCAGAAAGTCAGAATGTAGCTTCATTAGAAATATTTTATTTATTTATTTTAACTTGACTTTATTGAGAAGGTCATCATATAGGCTACATAAAATGACATACAACATTTCATTGTCCAGGGGTACAAAACTAATTTAACATTCATTGAAGCTTCCTGACAAGAAAGTCGAGGTTAAGGCACCAACTTGAGTTCTGGAGTTCCAGTATCAATTACTTCCATGTGTTAGGAGTGTGTTTTTGTATTCATGTCTTTCCTGTTTAAATCCGTTTTTGGTTCTGTGTTTCCCTGTGTAGTCTTGTTTAGTTATTTCTTAATCCTGTGCTTTAGTTGTTGTTTAGCGTTTCCCTGATCTGTGTACTTCTGTGTTTTATCATTATGGTCTGTGTCCTAGTCCTTTAGTTGTATGTTTTAGTGTAGTCTTGTCTCCTGTTTGGTCCCGTCTCCGTCCGTGCCCTGATTTTGCTGTCTTTCCATGTTTTGTGTTTTTACTTTGGTAGATATGTGTGTTCTTGTGAACTTTACTTCCTGTTTTATTTTGGTAATCCCCTGTACCTGGTGTCCTTGTCTAGCTTTATCCCTGTGGTTGATTACCTGATGTGTTTCAGCTGTGTGTGTATATATTGTCCTCAGTTGTCTTCAGTCCTTGTCATGTCCTTGGGTCGTCTATGTTGAGTGTTCCACTGCGCCTCATTTTTTGTATCTTTTGGATAACCTTGTGGATACTCTTTGTTTTTGGATTTTTCCCTATGGTTTCAGTTTAGATTACTTTTGATTGGACCTTTGCCTTGTGCCTGCTTCAGTAAGTCTTTTTGGGTTAATAAATGTTTTTGAACTGCAACCTCTTTGCCTTTTGGTCTGCATTTGGGTCCACACCTCAGCTTCCTGTCTTCACTCAGCCAACCCTTGACACCATGAGGTCATAAATGTTGAATATAGTTGTGCAGTCCTTTTGAGCTTTACAGTTTTTGGAGTTCATATATGCATCTAGCTCACTCATAAATATGAGGAAGAATGGTTTAGAACCAGTAAATTTACATTTGTGGATATGGAATTTGGCAAGTAAGAATAACATTTATTGTGAAGTTTTTTTTGTTTTGTTTTTTTATCCTCCCTGAAATCAAAAACACTGAAGAAAACATCCTTAAAACAAAATGAACACACTCCCGTATCAATATTCGGTTTATATCTTTTAAAGAAAGATTTTACTGGGTAGAACCGGTGAATTAATTTAAACAAACTTATCTCACTTTATTAGTAAGCAAATATTCACAGGGTAAAGACCACACTTTATCCCAAGGCACACTCTCTACTATTCCAATATGAAATAACGTAAGGCATAGTCAGAATGTCCTTTTGGAAAAAAACTCTAATTACTTTATTATTTACCTGTTGCTTAGAGGAAAAGCATAAACTCCCCACAGCAGTGTCAAATTTACAGTGTGATTAAGTGGCCTCCCAGCAACAGCCTGACTCCTGAAGGAACAGCAACAAGAACAATGGCTGATATGGGAATTTGATACGTCGTCAAAAAATCTTACCATTGGTATCAGTTGACCAACAAGTAAAATATTATTATTAAACCAGTTTTCAAAAAATATTGACTTGTTTTTATAGAGACTGTCCTTATTCCAAATATATTATCGATGTGGAGAGAAGTTGTGTTTCAATAAGGGAGACCAGGACTATGAAAGTTTGCTGATATTATAATTACACAGTAAAAGAAAGTCCAGGCCACCAATATTGGAAAAGATACTCCTATGATGCACGTCTGGGACAGCCCGTCATTGGCGAAGAGGCTGGTGATGTCACCGGAGCAGTCCGGTCACTGTGAGAATGGGGGAAAGTTTGTCAGTGTGGATACGCTGCCGAGACTCATCTCAGCGAACACTGCGATTTTTACTGCTCTCAGCGACTGCAGCTTGATGTCGTGTGGGCTTTCAGGAGGACTGTTTTCCATTAACTACTGGATATATTATCACTATCAGCACCAAGGGACCGACCCATGAGCCAAGGCAGAATCGTTCTTCTCTCATAAACAGCTGAAGGTAAACGTTTCTCTCCAGCAGTGAGCAGTGTTCCCAGGCTGTCTGATTACAGATAATAACTGTTCTTTTACTGCGGATGAAAACGGTGTCAGCACCTTTTACTTGCCGCTGTCTGCTCCACGGCTTCTTTAAGCCCAAGTGGAAGGGAACATAAGTAGGTTATCACTCTACAAATGTGTGAAGCTGTGGGTTTAGGGATAGGAAAGTACGATTTACTCTTATGAATGATCACCTTCAAAATATTGACAGTGTAATATATTTTTCAAATGTATGCTAAGTCATAGAGAAACACATCGCATAATTGTGATCCAGTAGCCCACAGCATGCTTCAGACGTGATTTCATTTTCTGGATTTACTTTGAAGCACGCAGATCTGCAACTCGTTGTGCGCGCACTGGGAAGGGGAGCCTATTTAATGCAATATAATTGTTCGGCTTGGAGACGTTTTTTAATAATGTCTGTAAGATTTACCAAAAGGAATGTTAGTTAATGACTATTATACCGCCGAGCTGTGATCAGATGGACAAGTGACCGTTTGTCTGTATTCTGTTTAATGTCTACTATTGCGCCGAACTTTTTGACTAAAATAGGAACATTTGACTTCTGATTCGTTTCTGCAGTTGACCTGGCCGTGCAGATAAAACACCCCGATAAACGCCGTATTTTTTCTACCAGCCCGCAGTGTTTTCTGCGTCTGACAAACAAAGCACATCGGTGATCAAGTCCAGTGTGACACCAAAAGACAACGTTGATTTCTTTTTTACTAACGTTAAATGACGTTGGTTTCTGTTGGGAAGGATTGGATATCGCCTGCTGGCAATTTTAAGTGGAAAAGCCTTATTGTGGGTGCACATTGATCGTCTGTACTATTATGAAAGAGACAATTGTACAGGACATTTAGGCCTACTTTTGATGCTTAAAGTACTATTTCTGTTTTCTATAAGTCAAATGTCCGTTTAGACAGTGTGATGGCCTACTCCTTTCAGTTGGAGACTCTAAGGACTCCCATCAACCACTGGCAAACTGCAGTATAATGATCCATGCTCCCAAGCATAACTTTCTGGTGGGAAATGCTGAATTTCTTTTTTTGGCCATAAAACCAGTTGTAACATAACTATAAGTCTGACTAAACTGCACCACTCCCGAATTCTAAAACTGACTGTTACCCAAAGGTGGAAAGTGACAAATTGGGCCTAGGCCTACAATTAGTCACGTTATTGTAATTGAGTAGCTTTTTGTGTACTTGTACTTTTTGAAGTAGTTTTTTAAATCTGTAATTTTACATTTACTTAAGTATGTTTTGTTTAAAGTATTGTACTTCGCCACATTTTCAGTCACATCCGTTACTGAGTTAAAAAACAAAAAAGCGCAAGTAACAACTTGCGACCACTTTGGCTTCAAGTGCAGGAGAACAACAGCTGTATTATCTTTATCATGCAGTGTAAGCTGTGAACAAATGCTGAATTAAGTTACTGCTAAAGCAAACTGAACATTACCTGCTGCTGCAGCTTCACCATTTTGCTGTAAAAAGGACAGTTCATGACAAAGCTAGTGCAGTGAAAATCATCCAAGATCAAATGCGGACACTCATGTGCATCAGTCTCTACAATGGACTGTGAAGGGGCTGTAAAGTCAAGATGCTTTGCTCCTTATAGCCAAAAAGACATCGGTGCATGACAATGTTGGTTGGCATTGGCTACTTGCTGGTAACTAGTTATTTATTATACTAACGCTTATTCCACTTACTTACTACTCTTACTCCCATTAAAATGACCACCTGTTTGAATGTAAATAGGGATATGACTTCATATTCCGCCACAGTTTCCTAATGAAGCGAAAACATTCTCAAACTTCTTATTATAACAAACTGTCTCTAACATTGTTTTTCCATTGATTTGGCAAAGTATCTGTCAAACAAACTAAAATTGAAAGCACTATATGGCTTTGTTCCCTTATCAAATCGCAAAAGACTGCAATTTAATTAAATAAGTATACGTATAAATAAGATATTAAATCAATATAAATAAGTTATTTTAGGAGGTTAAAAACTTAACTAAATAACTTTTACTCTGAGTAAATTTTAAATGAACTGCTTTTTACTTTTACTTGAGTAGATTTTTATACTTGTAATCGTACTTTTACTTAAGTAGAATAATTTTGTACACTTTCCAACTCTGCTGTTACCTACATTCCACTACCTTTTACAGTTGGGGCAGCTGACAGTGATATGCTCATGCTATCAGATAAGACTGCAGAATTTATACCTGTTGTTGGCACATATTTGCACTGTTGCACTGACATTTTCTGGTATTTTTACCTATCTGGTCTACTGCTGCCTTGATCTGTCAGTTTGTGTAAAAAATAAAAAAAATTTATTAAAATAACCCTTTAAAGTCACAGTAACTCAAATAAAAACACAAAGTCACACAATAACACAAAATCCAACTGAACGACTGCTCTTGCGGAAGCAACTCTGCTGTCCTGCCATTGGCTGGGAGCTTGTTCCACAACTAGAACAGAGAAAAAGTTGTGACTTAGCTGAGCGACTTTTGCTCACTCTTAGTGATGGCGGTACCAGCCGGCTAGCAGAGGTAGTTGAGCAGAGCGCTAAAGCTAGGGCATACGGTCTGACTAACGCCTGGAGGTAGGAGGGGGCAGTTCCATTGATGGCCTTGTACAGTGCCTTGCGAAAGTATTCGGCCACCTTGAACTTTTCAACCTTTTGCCACATTTCAGGCAAGACTGGGCCATCCCTCTAAACTTTCAGCTCAAACAAGGAGAAGACTGATCAGAGATGCAGCCAAGAGGCCCATGATCACTCTGGATGAACTGCAGAGATCTACAGCTGAGGTGGGAGACTCAATCAGTCGTATACTGCACAAATCTGGCCTTTATGGAAGAGTGGCAAGAAGAAAGCCATTTCTTAAAGATATCCTTAAAAAGTCTCATTTAAAGTTTGCCACAAGCCACCTGGGAGACACACCAAACATGTGGAAGAAGGTGCTCTGGTCAGATGAAACAAAAATCGAACTTTTTGGCAACAATGCAAAACGTTATGTTTGGTGTAAAGGCAACACAGCTCATCACCCTGAACACACCATCCCCACTGTAAAACATGGTGGTGGCAGCATCATGGTTTGGGCCTGCTTTTCTTCAGCAGGGACAGGGAAGATGGTTAAAATTGATGGGAAGATGGATGGAGCCAAATACAGGACCATTCTGGAAGAAAACCTGATGGAGTCTGCAAAAGACCTGAGACTGGGACGGAGATTTGTCTTCCAACAAGACAATGATCCAAAACATAAAGCAAAATCTACACTGGAATGGTTCACAAATAAACATATCCAGGTGTTAGAATGGCCAAGTCAAAGTCCAGACCTGAATCCAATCGAGAATCTGTGGAAAGAACTGAAAACTGCTGTTCACAAACACTCTCCATCCAACCTCACTGAGCTCGAGCTGTTTTGCAAGGAGGAATGGGCAAAAATTTCAGTCTCTCGATGTGCAAAACTGATAGAGACGTACCCCCAGCGACTTACAGCTGTAATCGCAGCAAAAGGTGGCGCTACAAAGTATTAACTTAAGGGGGCTGAATAATTTTGCACGCCCAATTTTTCAGTTTTTTATTTTTTAAAAAAGTTTGAAATATCCAATGAATTTCGTTCCACTTCATGATTGGTTCCCACTTGTTGTTGTTTCTTCACAAAAAATTACAGTTTTATATCTTTATGTTTGAAGCCTGAAATGTGGCAAAAGGTTCAAGTTCAAGGGGGCCGAATACTTTCGCAAGGCACTGTAAACCAGTACCATTGTCTTAAATGTGATCTGTGCTGCACCAGGGAGTCAGTGGAGGTCATGGAAGAAGGGGGTCACATGGGAGAACTGTGGTGGATTGAACACAAAGCATGCTGCAGCATTCTGTATACGCTGCAAAGGTTTGATCATGGAGGCAGGGAGTCCAGCCAGAAGTGAGTTGCAGTAGTCAAGGCGGGAGATGAAGAGTACTTGGACCAACAGCTTGGGATGCACACGTTGGCAGTGGGTGGAAATTAGGCTGAAAAATCAGTGTTTCCAAATCAATGCATGAGAATTTGTTTTTTTATTTTGCAAGCAGAAACTTCAGAAGTTTATGAGGGATGGAATCATTCCGGAACCAAACAAAGAGAAAAAGATGGAAAAACCCTAACCCTACTCCCTGTAGTTCTAAAAAACCATCAAATCAGAATATATCACAGCACATACAGCAGGTTGCTATTACAGCTTGCTACAGAATCACAGCTCTCTGATGACATCACATTATAATAGTGTGTGATCGATAATAATGTGTCAGTGGAATGAAGACTCCTGAAAAGCTGAAACATTGGATTTTGACCACCAATACTCCTGGGATTGTTTTATTTTCACAGCATTTTCATTTTAACTGAAAGTTTGCACAGGCCTCAAACTGAGACCAGAACCTGGACCGCATCTTTTGAACAAAACCTGACTGGTACTACTAATTCTGAGACCTAGATAACAAGAGACCTGAGGCAAAATGTTTGCTACTTTAAAACATTACTGATTGTTAGCTCTCCAGGCTAAATTCACAACATTCTGTCATTCCACTTAGCATTCTGTATACTTGTAATACATGACATGCAGGGCTGTAGACAATTGACAAGGACTCAGAGAAAGATTTTCTTAGTAAATTGCTTTTGAAAACAACCAAACCAGAGTCTGAAGCTTTGATGAATACAGCTAGCTGTAGAGGCAAGTGCAAAGTTGTTAATATTAAGAATGATCACAGTTATGAGATTAACACCCGAGCTGAAAAATACCAGTGATTTCCTTTTTTAAGATGTTCACATGATTAAACCAAAGATGGGGACTTTTCTGGGGCTGGATCTTCATGATTTTTGGACATTGTAAAGTTGTACTTTGTGGGTGGATCCCTTGTTTGTCACTTCATTCAAGTGTATCTACAGCTTTTCCAAATGCACCACCTGTTCCTGTTAAGAATG